TTGCTGTGTTTTGTTTAATGATTGGGCTATTCTGTGATGCCTTATAGTTTCATTTGAAGTCCACTAAAAATAAATTTTGGCTTGATCACTCATGTTACACATTTAACAAATTCTGCCAGGGGTATGTAAATGTATTAACTGTATTCAGCACCTGATTTACTAAGACAGCAACTCATTATGCAGGACAGGTAAGCAAAGGAGAGCTCAGCAGTGGAAGATCAGTAGACTCAGAGAAGGAATAATAATAATAAATTATTTACTTTACTTGCGGCCCAACTTCACCAGAGAAAAACTGTTAACACAATATTACTCATAGAGTTATGACATTGTAATCTTTAGCATATATCGAATTATTAATACATAAAGAGGAAATAAACACTTCTGTTCTTTTTCACTTTTACTTGAGTAAAGAAGTTGAATCAGTACTTCCACTTTTACCAAATTTACTGCCAACATCCATGCTGTGCAGATAAGTTCAAAGAGTTGTCCAAATTATGAAAAATATTGTTGCAGACTAGAGTGGGTCATTTGATTTCTATTGTCACACAGTACATATTGTCACATACGTTCAGTTTATCAAACTAGATAAAAAGTCAATGTATGAGAGCTTCTGGCAGACAACCACAACACTGACGCAGGCACAAAGGGGATATGACGCCATTAACAAGAGACCGGTAAAACGCAGCGTTACCTGAATAAAATGAGAGATTTCTCAGGGTTTGAATATTGTTGAAAACATTTGGGATAATGGAAGTACACAACTCAACTACATTTTTAACATAGAGCTAGAGTTTATAGACATTTGAATGCATAAGTGTTACTTACATATTATGGCTTTGACAAATAAATAGAAATTACATGACATGTTGAGAAAGGCTATGTTGTAGGGTTGGACTATCATTAATTTGACTTTCAGAAGTCCCTGTTTCACTTTGGCTCGCTACCTCCTCAGTATTAAATGGCCTAAACAGAGCATTTCAGAGTGGCTGGAGGCTGAGAGATGAGCTATGATGGTACTTAACGCTAACATCACATAGCTTGAATTCTTGTATCTGTGTGTGTAAAAAAGGTTCAGGTTTAGGATGGTCTCCACAAACCAGGCTGACAGAGAGAAGAAGTACTGCAGCATTACAGAGCCCTCAGGGATAAGCAAGTATCATGAGAGAGTGTGTGTGTGTGTGTGTGCGTGTGTGTGTGTGTGTATCTGGGTACCCACACTGCTAGTGTGTCTTAAATAGAACCCCCCCCCACCCCAACACACTCACCTTGGGTAAGTGATGTAGGGCTAGAGACACAGCAGTCACTATGGCCTACATTCACTGGGGCTCAGGTCATATTGTCCATTAAGCAGCAGAGACCATCAGCACACTGATATCGCTGCATTTAATATCTACATGACCGGGTCTATCATCAGGCTGCTGTCCTGAATGAGCACCCAGAGAACAACCAGACCCCCTTTCATATTCAAAAAGACAATAGATGTGAGTTTTTAACTAGTTTGGATACAAATAAAAAGTCAGCAGCACAGAACACAACCCCATGCAAATTTACATACCAACATACAAATCAAAAAGTTTAAAGGCAGCTGAAACTGCTACTTATAGGATTACAGCAGCAATGTGCAGGGCTGTGTGGGCAACTTACCCATTTAGTAAAAGTTATGGTTTAGGAAAACACTTAAAAGATTCGTGCTTCTTAGGGTATTTTACAGCACAGCTGCCAGCAGGTTGCTGTATTTAGATTTACAATAAACTACTGGAACTGTGCTGAAATGCAATGTACAGTGTATAGAGTAATACTATATTACTGCAAAACAGTATTTTACTGTATTTAAACTGTATATTGTAATTTGTTCTATTTCTACTGTATTATATTATATTGTACTGTAATATATCCTGTTATATGAATATTGATATATTACTGCTAATTATAATAATTACTAATACTTATTATTAATGTTATTACTACTAATAATTATATAATCTTCAGTTACTACTATTGTAATATTACTATACTAAATGTAATGTAAAATATTCACGCTTTATAAAAATTACCCACAATGCAATATAAGTAATGAATAAATGCATTTATTGTACATTGTACGGTAGGTTTTTGCAGTACGGTGCTTAGTAAATGGTAAATGGACCTGTACTTGTATGAGGCCTTTCTAAGTACATGAGTCCATCCATGCATTCCACCACCTCCATATGCAGACTTTCTCACTCTTTATACGTCACCTGACTTTGACGGCAGCCACATCCAAAACTAGCGGCAGAGGGATACCTGTAGTGTCATATTTTGAAGCAGAGGGCCACTGACCTAGCTGCTGTATTTGGCAACTTAGGAGTGAGCCCGGGTTGAATATAGACAGAGAGAAATCTCTACTGAGGGCAAAAAATGCACTTTACCCAGACCCAGCTGCATTGTGAATGAAAAAAATTTATTTTAATCCCAACATACAGTGCAGACTCACCTTTTGCTGAGCCATCTTTTGTCCGTCCAAGTCCACGTCCCTCACTGGTTCTGGTTCCGGAGACCCCGGTGGGCCCTCCCCAACCCTGTCCAGTTTGCCATCAGTGTGGACCTGAGAGGAGGATAATGAGGCAGGGGAGGAGGGATGGATGGATGGAGAGGAGGAGGAGGAAGCCCCACGAGGGTGTGCGGGGGAGGAAGATGGAGAGGTGGCAGACGTAGGGGTGGCCATGTGGTCACCGCGGAGGCGCAGTGTCTCCTGCCGTAGCATCTCGTTCTCTGAGGCCAGTTCCTGCCGTTCCCGCCGAACACTGGTCAGCTCCTTGGTGAGGGTATCCAGTCGCTGTCTCAGCTGACGAACTTCGTCACGTGCACGGTTACGCTCTGCACGAACCTGGGAAAAATACAGACTAAATTTATCAGCTCCAAGGCTATTGGTTTCTTGATGACTTAAACTGTGAAAACAAGTCATGATACGGTTTCATTTTTCACTGCAGTTTTTAGCAAACACTACTCAAACAGGAGGAAATAGTCAATTTGTTGGGGACTATTTTCAGTGGTGGATTAATCCACATTTGGTGCTATAGTGCTATTTGTGGTAGCAGGACGGTGTATGTGGGATTGAGTCAAAATAAGCTACACTGTGTTTACAGTATTTGTTGTAAGGATACATTCAGTATTTGTAATTTAATATTTTGTCATATTTGGCAAAACGTTCACTATATCCTGAAAGTATATAAGTATATAAGGAGTTTTTCCATTTTTATTCTACCATTGCTTCTCTGCTGTGATTGACCCCCCACTTTGATCAGCCCCCTACCCTTATTCTTTCATCCTGCCCACTATGAGCGTGCCCAGCCGATGCATCTGTCGACCACACACTTGACCTTTGTGTGGTGCATGTACAAGAGGGCGAGCGTTGCTCAGTGCTCACACAGAGACAGCGTCATCATGGATAAACCTCCTGAATGTCAGACTGAGGACTGAAGAATCACCATGGCCATACTTAAAGGTCCACTGTTTAACATTCAGGAGGCTCTATTGGCAGAAAAAAAACTGTTCTGTGTTATACTTTGTTATAAAAAAAAATTATCAAATTGACAATGTGATACAAAATTATAACAAAGTAGTTGGAACAACTTTTTCTAACTAGCTTTAGGTAACCAAACAAGATTTCTCACTAGCACAGCCACTGTAGTTTAAATTTCTAAGTAGCTAATGGTGAGAGGGTTAAAAGCAGGGCTACTGCTACTGCAATTTGGGTGCCCTATTTATGTTTTATTTATTTAAAAACCCCACACAGGTTGCAGTTTCCACAGCAGCAACAGTTAAGTCTACAACAGCAAAGTGTACTCAATAATATCTCACTACAAACATCTAAGATGTCAGAAATATAAGTCATATTCCTGACATCAAACTAAACTGTCCTCCCTCCTGTCCTCTCAGATTCGTGGTTTATTTAATATAGATCACGATTACAAATAGACAGATTTCCTTTAAGGTTTGTTCCTGACTTCACTATTGGGTTAAACAAGCATGTGGGTTTCAAACATCCAAACTGTGGACAAGCACATGACGTGGAAATACCTACTTTTTCTACTAAAACAGCTAACAAATCAAATTATTATCAATACAAAAGTTTAACAAGAAAAGGTGAGTCATCATAAAATTGATATATGTGCACACAGAAAGATGAAAATGAGTATGTATGATTACTGGAGTGATTCACAGAGTTTCAGTATATATTCTCTCTTCTGGCTGCAGTAAGCAGAAGCCCACCTTGCTCCACTTCTCTCTCCAGTTGGCGGTGCAGTCCGACCACCACCTCATAGTCTTCTCCATCTGGGCCGCTCTGGCCCGAGCCTCCTCCAGCTCCCTGAGCCTTAGCTCCTCCCTGCTCTCCCAGTCAGCCCCGGCTCCGTCGCCCATCGCCCCTAGGGATCCCAGCCCGAGGCCTCCCAGCCCGGGCGACAGCAGCAGCGGGGGGCTAGAGCTTGGGGTTCCTCCGGTGGGGCTGGGGGTGTGGGTGAGGCTGTCCGGGGAGCGGATCCCCCTGTCGGACCCCAGACCCAGGCTGCACAGCAGGCCACCTCCGGCCGACTTGCCGCCTTCGGACAGGTGGGGGCTAGGAGTGTGGTTCATGATGC